GTGTATACTCACACAATTTTAAATCAGGGAAGATTTTCTTTGGGAAGTGACTTTCAAGGTGTTATTTGACTGATTTCATGAGTTAGCCTACCTATGAGAAAGGAAGATTATTTCAGTTTGTAGACACCTAGGGGGGAAGGATGCCAAATGTTTCTTTAAAAGATCATCAGTCTTCTTAATATCAGTAATCATCAGGGAACTGCAAATCAAAACTACAGTGAGATATTACCTCTAACTGGTTTGGAAGGTTTCTATGAAAAAAGTATTGGTGAGGATGTGGAGAAAATGGAACCCTTATACCTTGTTGGAATGAATGTAAATTAGTTCAACCCTTATGGTAAAGATTGTCGAGGGTCCTCAGAAAATTAAAAATAGGACTATCATATGATACAGAGATCCTACTTCTGGGTGTAGAGCCAAAGGAAATGAAGTCAGTGTCTTGAGATATCTGTATCCCCATGTTCCATTGCCTCATTGTTTACAATAGCTAGGATGTGGAAACAACCTAAATGTTAATGAGTGAATGGATACACACATGCACATACACACATGCACACATATATACATGGAAGGTTATTTAACCTTAAAAAGGAAGGAAATCTCGTTCCATTTGCAACAGTGAACCTGGAGGATATTATGTTACATGAAATAAGCCAGTCCCAGAGATAAATACAATTGTCCCCTGGTATTTTCTAGGGATTGGTTTCAGGATGCCGCATGTATTCCAAAATTTGAAGATGTTCAAGTCTCTTATATAAAGATGGCATAATATTTGCATATAATTTATACATGTCCTGTGGTAATACTTTAAATCTTCTCTAGTTTACTTATAAGACAATATTACTATATATTTTTTCTTTAATTTATATATTTTTATATATATACACACACACAATAATACAAGGTACATTGTGTAATTCCTAATACAATGTAAATGCTATGTAAAATAGTTGTTACACTGTATTGTTTAATAAAGCCAGAAAGAAAACTGTGCATGTTCAATAAAGATAATTTTTTTCCAAATATTTTCTATCTGAAGTTGATTGACTCTGCAGATGTGGAAGCTGTGGACACAGAGGACCAGCTGTAATGCATTATCCCATTTATATGTAGAATTTAAAACATTCATACTCATGGAAACAGTAGAAGTGTAGTTACCAGTGGTCAGGAGGGTGGGTGGGGAAGTGGGGAGATATTAGTCAAAGGTACAAGTGCCAAGAAAATAAGTTCTAGAATCTGCTCACACTGTATCTCCTAAATTAAGTATACTAACTGTATTTAATAAAACTTTGTTGTAGACGTTAAGTATTCTAACCACATACACATAAAGTGATAACTATATGAGGAGATGTATATGTTTACTTGAATGTGAATCATTTCAGAGTGTATGTTTATACTTTCAGTATTTATAATTTTCATCAATTACACCTCAGTGGAAAGGGGCAGACATCAGTCTAGCTACAGTAAAAAATAGATTGTAAGAATCTAAGAGGTGATGCAGATAAACTACCATGTAGAAAAGAATTAACATAGAAGGCCTGCTTGTAAAGTTGGACCTTAACTGGCATCAGTGAACTTGGGCTTTGGAAGGAAACCCATCATTTTCAGAACTGATAAGAATGCCAAATCTGTTTTGAGTAACAATGTGGTTCTTGCTGAACGCTTTTACTTTCTCCCTAGGAGTCGGGGATTTTGATATGTGCTAGGCAAGAGACATCCCTTTGGGTGCTGTCTCTTTCGTGAGATTTCTGAGCTGTCACAGCTTGTTGCTGGAGGAGATTAAGCACATCCAGTGTGGACTCTAAAAATTTCCTCAGGACTTTACCCAATGGGCCTTTTCCCTTTGCTGATTTTAGTTTGTATTTTTATGCTGTCATGAATCATAGTCATGAGTATGACTATAAGACTCAGTATAATCTTATGAGTTCTAGTGAATCATCAAACATGGAAATGATCAAGGATGTGACATAGTCACTTAGGTTGGAATTTTAGGTCTGGAAAAGAAACAATGGAAGTTTTGTCCAGGTTTTTTGAACTGACTTGGGAGATATTTAAAAAATAGAATTGACAGGACTTGGTAATTATTTTAATGTGGGTGAGAAAGAGACAGAAAAGTATCAAGGATGTCTATAAATTTTTCACTCCAGCAACTGATTACATAGAAATAAGCATTTGCTACCAGAGCAGCATAGTATGATAGAAGAAACACAGATTTGAAGAAAAAATATCTATATGGATGCAAGTTTAGAATCCTAGGTGTGTAAGTTTATCTGTCTGAAACATTGAGACCATTTTGAGGATTGAATAAGACATTTGAAAAGATTTTCTAAGTTATTACGTAATGCAGATGTTAACTATGATTGTTAAGCTCCCATTTAATATAAAAGTACCTCATATATGTCCAAAGCTATCAGGCACTTTATGTATTGTTTTTACTGTTTGATATTACTATAGTTTTCACTGAATTCTGAAACTCAGCAACTTAAATACTAGAATGTCTTTTTTTTTTACTTTATAAAATACATATTTTATATTATACTATATTTATTTATTTAATAAAAATATTTTTAATTGCCAGTGGACCTTTATTTATTTATATGCAGTGCTGAGAATCAAGCCCAGTGCCTCACACATGCTAGGCAAGTGCTCTACTACTGAGCCACAACCCCAGCCCTCTTCTTTTTATTTATATATGACAGAGGAATGCATTACATTTCTAATTACACATATAGAGCACAATTTTTCATATCTCTGATTGTATACACAGTACATTCACACCAATTCGTGTCTTTATACCTGTACTTTGGATAATAATGATCATCACATTCTACCATCATTAATAATCCCATTCCCCCCTCCCTTCCCCTCCCACCCCTTTTTCCTATCTAGAATTTGTCTGTTCCTCCCATGCTCCCACTCCTTATCCCACTATGAATCAGCCTCCTTATATCAAAGAAAACTTTTGGCACTTGGTTTTTTTGGGATTGGCTAACTTCACTTAGCATTCATTATCTTCTCTAACTCCATCCATTTACCTGCAAATGCCATGATTTTTTTCTCTTTTATTGCTGAGTAATATTCCGTTGTGTATATATGCCACATTTTTTTTATCCATTCATCTATTGAAGGGCATCTAGGTTAGTTCCACAGTTTAGCTATTGTGAATTGTGCTGCTATAAACATTGATGTGGCTGGGTCCCTGTAGTATGCTGTTTTTAGTCCTTTGTGTATAGGCCGAGGAGAGGGATAACTGGGTCAAATGGTGGTTCCATTCCCAGTTTTCCAAGAAATCTCCATACTGCTATCTATATTGGCTGCACCATTTGCAGTCCCACAGCAGTGTATGAGTGTATCTTTTTTTCCACATCCTCGCCAACACTTATTGTTGTTTGTGTGGATAATAGCTGCCATTCTGACTGGAGTGAGATGAAATCTTAGAGTGGTTTTTATTTGCATTTCTCTAATTACTAGTGATGATGAACATTTTTTCATGTATTGATTGATTGTACATCGTTTTCTGAGAAGTCTCTCTTAAGGTCCTTGGCCCATTTATTGATTGGGTTATTTGTTTTTTTGGTGTTTAGCTTTTTGAGTTCTTTATATAGCCTACTGATTAGTGCTCTATCTGATGTGCAAGGGGTTAAGATTTGTTCCCAAGATATAGGCTCACTTCACAGATTGTTTCTTTTGCTGAGAAGAAACTTTTTTGAGTTTGAGTCCCTCCCATTTATTGATTCTTGATTTTAATTCTTGCACCACAGGAGTCTTATTAAGGAAGTTGGAGTCTAATCCCATGTGATGTAGATTAGGACCTACTTTTTCTTCTATTAGACTCAGGGTCTCTGGTTGTATTTAAAAAAAAAAAAAAAAAAAAAAAAATATATATATAATTTTAGTTGTCAATGGATCTTTTTATTTTATTTATTTATATGCAGTGGTGAGGATTGAACCCAGAGCCTCATGCATGCCAGGCAAGTGTTCTACCACTGAGCCACAACTCCAGCCCTCTGGTTGTATTCTTAAGTCCTTGATTTATTTTGATTTGAGTTTTGTGCATGGTGAGAAATAGAGGTTTAATTTCATTTTTTTGCATATGAATTTCCAGTTTTCTCAGCACCATTTGTTGAAGAGGCTATCTTTTCTCCAATGCATGTTCTTGGCACCTTTGTCTAATATATGATAATTGTAGTGGTATGGGTTGGTCTCTGTGTCCTCTATTCTGTACCATTGGTCTACCAGTCTGTTTTGGTGCTGATACCATGCTGTTTTTGTTACTATTTTTCTGTAGTATAGTTTAAGGTCTGGTATAATAATGCCACCTGCTTCACTTTTCCTGCTAAGGATTGCTTTAGCTATTCTGGATCTCTTATTTTTCCAGATGAATTTCATGATTGATTTTTCTGTTATTTTGAGGAATATCATTGGAATTTTGATTGGAATTGCATTAAATCTATGTAGTGCTTTTGGAAGTACAGTCATTTTGATAATATTAATTCTGCCTATCCAAGAGCTAGGTAGATCTTTCCATCTTCTAAGGTCTTCTTTGATTTCTTTCTTTAGGATTCTGTAATTTTCATTATATAGATCTTTTGTATTATACTATTCTTTATGAGCTCTTTCTTATACTAGAGGTAGGTAATATGTTGGTTTTAAACATTGAAACACTTGAATGTTGTAATGAGCACCTGAAAACCAGCGAGGGTATTTGCCAAGGTTCTATAGGCTTCATTCCCAGGTTGAATGACGTTAACTTTTTGGTCTTCCAAAATAGATCATACTTTCTTATGCTTCTTATCAACATATTCTGTGGATGTATAGAGGAACATTGTTTTTATAATTTCAGATCTTTTAGGCAACAAGTATAGCACATCATAATTTCATTTTGTTAACTATTTAAGTGTTGCGTGTTGCACATGCAAGGAAAGCTGTATTTATGAAGTTATCTTGTTTATAAAATGTCTAGATTCCAAAAAAATAATGATATTCTTTTTCTCTCGTAGAACACTTCACCTGCATTGTGAAGGTGCTTTTTACCCTACTATATACACAGGCTCTTGCTGCACTTTCAGTTAAATGCAGTGAGGAAGATAGGTCAGCCTGGAAACACATGGGAGCTCTCAAAAAGGTTAGTCTCTTTTCTGAATTCATCATTTAGTAGTTTGGGGAACTCATTCAAATGAGGATATGAGTGAAGTTAAGTGTTTGAAAGACAAAATGAGTTAATGGTATTTTAATTGGAAGTAGAGTACCTTCAGACTTTAAAAAAAAGAATTAAATGTCTCCTTACGTGATTAGACTTTCTGCATCTGTCTCTATACTTGGCCTTTATCCCCTTAAATTTGGACAGTTTTGTTTTGTAAATTTTGCTACAAACATTAATCTTAAGGAAGTTATAAAAAGGATTGGGGATGTAGCTTAGTGATAGAGCATTTTCCCAGCAAGCATGAGGCCTTGGGTTCAATCCCTAGTACCAAAAAAAATAAAATAAAAAAAATAAAAAACTGTGACATTTCAGTGAACATAGTAATTAAGTATCTGCAGATTTAAACTATTTATCTGTCAATTTTTTCTTTATTCCTATTTCCTATTACAATCTGAAGTTTGCTTTTTGACTTACACTTCTTTTTTTTAAAATACTTTTTTGTTGTCAATGGACCTTTTTTATTTAATTTATTTATATGTGGTGCTCAGAATTGAACCCAGTGTCTCACACATGCTAGCCAAGTGCTCTACCACTACAACCCCAGCACTTTGACTTACCACTTCTTTTTTTTTTTAATTAGTTGCTCAAGACAATACAATGATCTTGACATATCATACATTTGATTCAAATAGGGTATGAATTCTCATTTTTCCATGTGTACAGATTTGTTGAGAGCCACAGCCAAAAAAAGTCCCCCAATGAGCAGCTCTGTGGTCTGAAAGGGCAGGGAAACAGCCCAATGAGCATCACCACAGAGGAGCCAATCAGTTGGCAGCTAGAAGTTGCTGGGGTCGCTGTGAGCCATTCATCAGCTGGCAGCTTCCAGCTGCCAGCACAGATTGCAGGATCACATTGGTTATACAGCCATGTATATACTTACAGCAATCCTAGTGTCAGTTGTATTCTGCTGCCCTCCCTATCCCCCCTCCCCTCTCCTCCCCTCCCATCACCTCTCTCTACCCATCTACTGTGACACTTTTCTCTGTTTCTCTCTTTTTTTCCCCTTTCCCCTCATACCATCCTGTGTGTATTTTGTGTAACAATGAGGGTCTCCTTCCATCTTCCGTGCAATTCTCCTTCTCCCTCCCATTCCCTCCCACCTCTCTTCCTTGTTTAGTGTTAATCTTCTTCTCATGCTCTTCCTCCCTACTCTGTTTTGAGTCACCTCCCTTATATCAGAGAAGACATTCAGCATTTGTTTTTTAGGGATTGGCTAACTTCGCTTAGCATAATCTGCTCTTTTTTTAATATTTATTTTTTGTGGTTGTAGTTGGACACAACACCTTAATTTTATTTATTTATTTATTTTTATGTGGTGTTGAGGATCGAACCTAGGGCCTTGCACATGCGAGATGAGCACTTTACTGCTGAGCCATAACACCAGCCTACCACTTCTAAACTTAAAAAACCTAGCCTTGCCTTGTCTTGCCTTCCCTTCCCTTCACTTTCCCTTTTTTCCCACGTCCTTGCCAACATTTATTGTTACTTGTGGTTCTTGATAATTGCCATTCTGACTGGAGAGAGATGGAATCTCAGTGTAGTTTCCAAAATTAGGTCTTTTTCTCTTCAAAGTTCTTTTCAACTTTCCCTTACGGTACTTGTTGACTATCGGTCTCGTGCCGGTATTTAGCCTTAGATGGAGTTTACCACCCGCTTTGGGCTGCATTCCCAAGCAACCCGACTCCGGGAAGACCCGGGCCCGGCGCGCCGGGGGCCACTACCGGCCTCACACCGTCCACGGGCTGGGCCTCGATCAGAAGGACTTGCAAAATTAGGTCTTAATGACAAAATTTAAACAATTGTAAATTTCTGATGAAAGGAACAGGATTTAAGTGGCTGTTTAGTCAGTATTCTTTGTTAATTTTATAATTGATAGCTTTAAAATTTTTTTTTTTTAGTTATACATGGACACAGTATCTTTATTTTGTTTCTTTATTTTTATTTGATGCTGAGGATCGAACCCAGTGCCTCACGTATGCGAGGCAAGTGCTCTGCCACTTAGCCACAATCCCAGCCCTTGATAGCTATTTTTAAAAAGTCTTAGTAAAACACTATGACACCTGTTATTAGAACATAAATTAAAAATATGTTAGTTCATAGCCATATAAATTAGTACTGAAAACAAAAACTGTCATGGTTGGTTTGCCACGTTACCTTTCTCTACAATAGATATAAATATTTAGATATATAGAAGTTGTAAATAATGACTATGAATGATGAAATGGATCGCTGTGTATGAATTAAATTCTGTGTAATTCCTTTCTTTTTTTTTTTTTTTTATATACTTTCAATTCCCTCCCTTTTCACTCCCTTTTTCCTTTCTTCACTGGGTTTTACTCATTTCATCTCCATAATTCTTTATGCTTAGGTATGATAATTCTCACAAAAGCTTTTTTTTTGGTCATATCTAATCTAGCCTGGGGCAATAAATATATAGGTACTACGTATTTTTGAAGGGGTATTGAGATTAACTTGATAATAAGGTTTAGTTCTGTTGGAAAAATCATTATCACTGTAAATTGCATTCCTGTGTTCTGTGGAATTTTTGCTAAGAGTCTTTTATACTAGAATTTCTTAAGCCGAGATATTTGGGTAGATTCTGTTTTGTTTTGTTTTCTGGAAGTGGAAATGTGACATTCAGAATATACTTACAGGGCCTGTTATCCCCAAAAGTTTAAGAAGCACTGTAATTTAGACCAAGCATTATACCTAACACATACCCTCTGCATCTCTTACATACCTCACTGCATCTCTCAAACCTTGATCCCTTCCTTTATTTAACCCACTTTGTGTGTGTGTGTGTGTGTGTGTGTGTGTGTGTGTGTGTGGTGGTGGTGGTGGTGGTTCTGCAGATTGAACTCAGTGCCTTGTGCATGTGAGGCAGGCACTCTACCAACTGAGCTACGTCCCCAGCCCCCAACCCACTTATTTTTGCTACCTTTTCCTTAGTATTCTTCTGATCTGGAATTTAGATCTTTTGCCCATTTTCTCAGAAATTCATTCTTAAGTTTCATGAGCCTGTTCTTTCATTTATTCAAAGACTATTTAAAATATGCTTTCTTAAGACTTGTATACGTGTGAAATTCATTTTTTTTTCATCCAATACTCCTCTGGTGAGAAGAGTGCTCAGTATAAACTAGTAAACATTATATTTAACTGTCTGATTTAATATAGAATTCGGCATGTTCTTTATTTATGTAATACATGTTGATGTATTTGATTTATAAGGTAATTTCATTCAGTAATTCACTTGAGTGGTCTAAACATAAATATTATTCTTGAAATAATACTGAACAAAAAGTATTGTTCTTTGAAATAATACTATTGTTTTCTGTAACTCTAATTCAAAAGAGTACTAAATTTTGGAAGCTTTTGGCTGGGTTGTATATTTAAAGAATCTTAAGTATGTCACATTTATTAGCAAGTAACAAATCTTTCATGGTTATATTTTTTAAAGTTTTCTACATTTTGCGTTTAAGTGAACTCTGCCTTGTTTAAGAAATTATTTGATTAAGTTTTAATAATTTTGCTTGTTTGATATTCAGTGGTATGTTGATTCTTGTGAAGTATATGTAACCTGTAGGTCATCATATTTAGTATGTGATCATCCTGTTGATTAAGCAAGCAAAGGTGGGTGAGTCACCTGGTATAACACCAGTTGCAGTCAAGTACGTTTTGGTGGGGGCCAGGTAACTGGGGATTAAATCCAGGGGTGCTTAACCATCGATCCACATTCCTATCCCTTTTTATTTTTTGAGAAAGCATCTTGCTAAGTTTTCTAGGGCCTCGGTAAGTTGCTGAGGCTGGCTGGTTTTGAACTTGGGATTCTCCTGCTTCAGCCTCCTGAGCCACTTGGATTACAGGCATATGGCACCATACTCAACAAGGACACTTTAATAGTTTAAAATCAGGACATAGTTCTACATGGCAGAGTGAATGCAGCAGAAGGCAGAGGACTAATTTAAAATAAGGCAAAGAACTGATTATCAAAAAAGGAATGCTCAGGCAAATTCTAGTGTCAAAAGCTCCAATATTATCAAATAAATTCTATTTGTTATGAGCAGATATTTATTATGAAAAGGTATTCCTGGAAAATAGCATAGTTTCTGATATTTTGGAATTCATAGTTTGACTGAAAAGAATACAATATCATGGAAGAAACAATTAGAAAAGAAAATAGAAACAAGTCTCATCAAATAAATCTGCAGGCCAACTATAAGTACCTTAAAAGTTAAGAATAAACTTATATTCCATGGTGTTTACTCAATTCTTTTATTTTTCGTTTCAAAAATACAGTTAATGAGTAGCCTAAATGACATAATAGCAAAGTCATTACTTTATTCCAATTTATGTTTTACTATAATTTTCATGTTATACTTTTCTTTAATATTTTAATAAATATAAAAGAGGTACATTTCTTTATGAATAAAATATTTTATTGAAATAAATGTGAATTTATAAATAGTCATTATTTTGCTTTCTTATAAAATTGGAAGCAGTAATTATGTTTTTGTTGTAGACCATTATTCATTAGAGTTTTTGTACATCTGTAATAAATATATTATTCTGTTTGATTTGTAAATAGTTTTAACAAATTCTCTTCAAGAAATTTGAGGAAAGTTGTAAAATTTTTAAAAATGTGGCTCATGTTTTCTTCTAATACATGCATATATGATTTGTGCCATTACAGTGAGTGGTACAATATCTTTTATTTGGCTCTCTTCACATCATGAATATTTTCTACATAGTTTGAATTTGTCATAATCACTGCCTATAAAATATTCTGTTAAGTTGATATTCCATAATTTAGGTAACTGCATCATTATTGTTGTTCATTTCTCTCTCTCTCTCTTTTTTTTTTTTTTTTTGGTATAGTGCTGCAATGACTGTCCTCTGCATATAGCTTTTTAATATTTATTTTTTAGTTATAAGTGGACACAATATCTTTATTTTATTTTTATGTGGTGCTGAGGATCAAACCCAGTGCCTCACGCATGCTAGGCAAGTATTCTACCTCTGAGCCACAGCCACAGCCCTGAATATAGCTTTTTTTAAAAAAATTTCTTTTGGATTATTTTCTTTGGATGAATTCCAGAGTGGAAATCACTGGCTCAAAAGGCATGTTTTGCATGTGTTCATTTGCATCTACATTATACAATTTATATGCTGTCTTTTAAACAAATTTTGGAATAGTTTTGATTACCTGTTCAATTTCATTGTGTGTCCAAAGGCATATGGTTGTATCCCAGTTTAGAAAAATTGAAGTTTCTATGCTTGAAGAATAATATAATCATAGTTTTGCTCATTAAAAAGTGTTATTTTCAACATAGATTTTTTTATATTTCATAATAACCAATGTAACTAATGTAACTTTTTTTCCAGAATACATGTGATGCAGAAAAGTCTTATGAAGTGTTATTGAGCTTTATTATAAATGAATTATCTAAAGGAAAGTTATACCATGAAGAAGGAACTCAGGAGTGTGTAATGGTATGTATTTGCTAAGATGAGACAGTAGTTATTGAGTAAAAGCTTAATATTTTGTTGCCATTGTGAATATAATTTACTACATCAATTATACAATGAATTGTTCAAATTTTCTTTTTTAACTTTAGATTAGTCCTATTGCTTGGTCTCCTGAATCCATGGAAAAGTATTTACAGGACTTCTGCTTACCTTTCCTCAGAATCACCAGCCTTCTTCAGCACCACCTTTTTGGGGAAGATTTACCTAGTTGCCAGGTAAAATTTGGGGTAGTGGATAAGGAGCCTTATTTTTTTTTAATATTTATTTTTTAGTTGTAGTTGGACACAATATCTTAATTTTGTATATTTATTTTTATGTGGTGCTGAGGATTGAACCCAGGGCCTCACATATGCTAAGTGGGCACTCCTAAGCCACAACCCCAGCCCCGGAGCCTTATTTTTATAATAAGCTATTTTTTAAAATTATGCTAATGTATAATATAATATTTATGTCTACATATGTAATCCTGACCTTATAAGTATATGTTATTCTACCTCAAAGAATAAATATTTGCTATTTTGGTATTCGTTAGCACTCACCCCTTTTTATAATATTACTAGTGTTGGATATTTGAGCAGTTTTGGATTGAATCAGTGATAATTCATTTCCAGTACTTAAATAGGTCATAGTATTTAGTTTATTGATTTATTTTTATCACTGATATGGTTTGCTTTTTTAAATTTTTTTTTATTTGTTTTAATTAGTTATACATGATAATAGAATGCATTTATGCACTTTCATATATCATACATAGATGGGATATAATTCCTCTTTTTTCTGAGTGTACATGTTGTAGAATCACATTGGTCATGCAGTCACATATATATATATAAAGTAATAATGTCTGTTTTGTTCTATTATCATTCGTATCCCCACATCCCTTCCCCACCCCTCTAATCTCTTTCCTCTACCTAATCTAAGGTAACTCTGTTTTTCTCTAGTGCTCCCCGCCTATTGTGAATTAACATCCTCATATTAGAGAAAACATTCAGCCTTTGGTTTTTTGGGATTGGCTTATTTCACTTAGCATGATATTCTCCAACTCTAGCATTTGCCATAATTTCATTCTTCTTTAAAGCCAAGTGAAATTCCATTGAATACATATACCACATTTTCTTTATCCATTCATCTATTGAAGGACACCTAGGTTGGTTCCATAGTTTAGCTATTATGAATTGGGCTGCGATAAATATTGACGTGGCCGTATTACTGTAGTATGCTGATTTTAAGTCCTTTGGGTATAAACCAAGGAGTGGGATAGCTGGGTGAAATGATGGTTCCATTCCAAGTTAGGAATCTCCATACTGCTTTCCATAGTGGTTATACCAATTTGCAGTCCCACGAGCAATGTATGAGTGTACCTTTTTTCCTACATCCTCACCAATATTTATTGTTGCCCGTATTCTTGATGATTGTCATTCTGAGTGGAATGAAATGAAATCTCAGTAGTTTTGATTTTCATTTCTCTAATTGCCAGAGATGTTCAACACTTTTTCATATATTTGTTGATCAGTTGTATTTCTTCTGTGAAATATCTGTTCAGTTCCTTAGCCCATTTATTGATTGGGTTATTTTTATATATCCTAGAGATTAATGCTTTATTGGAGGTATATGTGGTAAAGATTTTCTCCCAAAATGTAGGCTCTCTCCTCACATTATTGATTGTTTCCTTTACTGAGAAGAAACTTTTTAATTTGAATCCATCCCCTTTATTGATCCTTGATTTTACTTCTTGCACATTATGGGTCTTGTTAAGAAAGTCAGATACTAGGCCAACATGATGAAGATCTGGGCCTACTTTTTCTTCTATTAGGCATAGGATCTCTGTTCTAGTGCCTAAGTCTTTGATCCACTTTGAGTTGATTTTTGTGCAGGGTGAGAGATAGTGGTTTAATTTCATTTTGCTAAATATGAATTTCCAGTTTTGCCAGCACCATTTGTTGAAGAGGCTATCTTTTCTCCAATGTATGTTTTTAGTGCCTTTGCCTAGTATAAGATGATTGTATTTATGTGGGTTTATCTCTGTGTCCTCTATTCTGTACTATTAGTCTACAAGTCTATTTTGGTGCCAATACCATGCCATTTTTATTACTATAGCTTAGTAGTATAGTTTAAGTTCTGATATTGTGATGCCTCCTGCTTTACTCTTCTTGCTAAGGATTGCTTTGGCTATTCTGGGTCTCTTATTTTTCCAAATAAATTTCATGATTGCTTTTTCTATTTCTATGAAGAATGTCATTGGGATTTTAGTAGGAATTTCATTAAATCTGTATAACGCTTTGGGTAATATGGCCATTTTGACAATATTAATTCTGCCTGTCCAGCAACATGGGAGATCTTTCCATCTTCTGAAGTTTTCTTCAATTTTTTTTCCCTTAGTTTTCATTGTAGAGGTCTTTCACCTCATTTGTTAGATTGATTCCCAGGTATTTTATTTAATTTGAGGCTATTGTGAATGGGGTAGTTTTCCTAATTACTCTTCCAGCAGATTCATCGCTGACATATAGGAATGCCTTTGATTTATGGGTGTTGATTTTATATCCTGCTATTTTGCTGAATTCATTTATTAGTTCTAGAAGTTTTCTAGTGAACTTTTTTGGATCTTCTAGATATAGAATCATCCCATCAGCAAATAATGATAGGTGAGTCCTGGAATAAATATAATTTCTCCTCAACTCTCATATGTCTATATTTGGTACCAATTCTTGTAACAAAAGAAAGATGAAAATGAAAAAATCAAACAAGTTTATTAACATGTGCAGTGCACATCACATTGGAGAAACCTCAGTGAAAGGTAACTCAAACAAATGACTTAAAATTCTGGCTTATAAAACATCTTCAACAACGAAATAAATTTTAAAGAAGTTACACGACAGAAGAAAGCAGTTTTAGACTTTTTAGAGGTAAGATATTGTAGGAAGGGAATAAATGAATGGAGTTGGGTTTGTTTGCATATTCCTCTGATACCATATCTGAGCTAATAAGAGTTGTCTCCAGTAAAGGAGAATTTGTATCCTATCTTTAGATGGAAAGTAGGGCAGGATACAAAGAGTACAAAGAGTGATCTTCCTCAGTTTGCTTTACTTCTTACTTGCCTTTAGCTCAAAAATATTTATGTCAAAGAAGCATATTTTGTAGTGACATTCAGTTTCCTTTACAAGTAAAAGAGAGGAAATAACAAAAATCAGAGTATAAATCTTATTATAATGGATTATAATGAATTATATTGGAGAAAATCAGTGACTTCAAAACCTGGTTCTTTGCAAAGATCAATAAAATGGATAAATTTAGATGTCAGGAGCTCAGCTGAGCTAGGAGAGAACTGAGCTGCCATGTGTCAGAATCACCAATTAAAGAAACAAATCAAGAGTGAGTTGTTTGTTCTCTTACTGATGCTGTAAGCAGGAGGCTAAAACTTGAGAAAATGCTAACTCTCCCAGTTCCCCAGTTCCTGAAAATGCCAACTCCACCTTTCCTTGTGGAATGGCACACTGGTCAAGGTTCTGGCAGTATTATGGACTAGTGGGTTGGAGTCAGTGGGGAAAGAACAGGAGTAGAAAAGTTACTGGGGTACTAAATCATGTTGGGGAAAAGTGTCTCCAAAGTTCTCCCTGCCCATCACCACATTAAGGAGGCCTTGGCAGAGGTACCTGAAGAGACTTCTGTCCAAGACATTTACTCCAAGAAAATAGGAGTAAATGCACTGGGACTAGGAATATTAAATATGTGAAAGAGTATAGGTAGCCAAGGTAGCCTGAGACCTTAACTGCGGTTCCTTTCAGAGACTGGAACAATGTGTAGGGAGGGCAGTTTTCTCTATGAGACTTGTCAGGAAAGCCTTTGTAATTCCCTATGGTTAGATCTGAAAACCCATGCATATATTTTTTATTTAGGAGCTAGACTTCTCACTGGATTGATATGGAAAAAGAGAAAGAAAGTACAAATTACTAATATCAGGAATGAAGGAGGAGACCTCTGTATAAACCCATTAAAATACTGTGAATAATACTTTGCCAATAAATTTGATAACTTAGATGAAATAGACAAATTCATTGAAAGGTATAACTTGCTCAAGAAGAAATAGAAAATCTGAGTGGACTGATATTAAGAAAATTGATTTATTCAACCTATATAATTATTATTCTTTCAAAAAGAATAATCAACAATAAATTCTGTGAAACATTTAAGGAAGAAATCTTATTAATACTATATAAACTTTTAGAGTAGAGGAAGATAGTACAATTCTAATCTCATTTTATGAGGACAGTTTTATCCTGACAGCCAGATCAGGCATCACAAGAAGAGAAAACTATATCTCCCTGAACACAGAAGCAAAAAGATTTACTGTAGTATTAACAATAAAAAGAAGAATACCTCATGACCAAATGGATTTTTCTCATCTTTATTGAGGTAAATTGACAAATAAGAATTATTTATTTATGGTGCACACTATGATATTTTGACACATGTATATTTTGTAAAATGATTACCACAATCAAGCTAATTAACATATCCACCATCTTACATAGTTATCTTATTTTTTCTGATGCGAACATTTAAGAACTACTCAACCAATTGTAAGTATACAATACAGCATTATTAATCATAATCATTATGTAATACATTAGCGCTCCAGAACTTATTCATCTTATGCCTGAAAGTTCATATCATTTGACCAACATCCCCCCATTTTTCCTATCTGCCTATCCCCTGGTAACTACCAGTCTACTCTGCTTCTATGAGTTTGACTTTTTTAGATTGCATACATAGATGGGGATCAGTATCTGTTTTTCTGTGACTGGCTTATTTAATATAGCAGAAAGTCCCTCAAATGTGTATGTATTGTAAATGACAGAATTTCTTTCTTTTTTAAGCCTGAATAATATTCTGGTATGTGTGTATCATATTTACTTTATTCGTTCACCCATCGATGGACAGTTAGATTGATTTCATATCTTGGCTAATGTGAATAATGTTGTAGCAAGTTTGGGCATGACCAAAAAGATTTATCCTGGGAATGCACAATTAGTTTAACAAAAATTAATTAATTGAATATATTAATAGAATAAATGAAAAAATTGTATGTGATCGTCTTAGTAAAAAAAAAAAAAAGAAGAATTTGCCAAAATCTAACACCCTTTTTGGTAATTAAAAACAAAAAACAACAACAAAAAAACTTCAATAAACTAAGAATAGAACAGAGTTTGCTCAGCCT